GAAAAGAGAAGAAAATAATAGAAGAGATGACAGAAAATGCAGAAACGTAGCGACAATCTGGAGAGAAATGGGTCGAAGATTGGCCAGGTTAACCGGCAGCTGAGGAGAAGTTATGATGTCATTTACATTTCAAAAACCAGAAGCCATTCATTTACGAATGTGATTGCACTTTAGTTGACATATTTAAATGTTCAGATATTAAGATTTGAATGAGGCAAAATAACATGCTTTTTCTCTCAAATATATTGTTAGAATCATTTGTTTCAGATGTACTGTAATTATTTTCTGCATAAAAATTAATTTGGTGTTCAAAAAGTCTTTTTTCAAACTTGAGTCTTGAAAAAGAGGGGGTCGTCTTATAATCAGGGCCGTCTTATATTCGGGCCAATACGGTATATCTGCGTTGCAAGATGGCCGCCCGGCACAAGTTTTCTGTCCCAGACTGCAGTTCAGCATCAATTTGTGAAGCTTCATGGCAAGTCTCTCGAAACAGGATCTGTTCTGTGCGAAAGGCGCGCCACCACCTGTGCTGATGAAAACGCAGAACTCTGTCAGCGGGCGTTCACACAAAGCCAAGGAAAGTCTATCCGACGGTCTGCACACCAGAACTCAGCATCAACAAAATCGCTTGATTCAGCGAATGCTTCAGCGAGTGATAACACATTTCCCAGACCGACTTGCGGTTGTTCTGAAGCTTCAAACGGAAGATTGTCTCGCTCAATAACAAGTCTGGCCTTGAGGCTGCCCTATTTGGACAACAACAAGCGACATCTTCTCTCAGCCGGATGTGAAATTTCTCTGGCATTTATGCGGAACCGTCGCCACCCTCTCTAAGCCGCCGCCCCCGCAACCCCCCTGGAGAGGACAACACATGGTCAGAAAGTATTTTCCTCTTTGCAAGGGGTAGCAAAGTCTGCTCTGCGATCCAAGAGGAATTTTAATAAGTGGTTTCTTGTACCGGAGCATCTGCGAGGCAGACAGCTGCCATGGCTCCGACATGATGGACAATTGCAGAGAGGTTGTTGTCATGGTTTGTGCCAATTAAAAGCTCTCCTTTAATTGTGACGTATCGTCACATAAACGTGATTCTCAAATCACTTTCATTGGTTTTAGGATTATGAAACGGTCCTTGAAAAACTGTCTCTCCCGTCGCGGGCCCCCGGAAGCAAAAAAATTGGAGAACGCCGAGTGTAAATGGACCGTTGTACAGGAACGAATATTTGACGTAGTCCCATGACTAACGTTACCATCGACTCAACAGGGGATCAGTACTGTGGGGGCAGATTGGACAAACCATCTGGAACGTTCAAAACTCCCAACTGGCCTGACAGGGACTACCCAGCCGGCGTCACCTGCTCCTGGCACATAGTGGCACCAAAGAACCAGGTAAAAAAAAAAATTTGGCCTGAATACATGTGAAGCATTTTTGGAGAGTACTTGATGAAAGACTCTGTGATTTCGCTGCAGATCATTGAAGTCAAGTTTGAGAAGTTTGACGTGGAGCGAGATAACTATTGCCGCTACGACCACGTCTCCATTTTCAACGGCGGCGAGATCAACGACGCCAGGAGGATCGGGAAGTACTGCGGAGACAGTCCCCCGGCGTAGGTCTCACGTCTTGTTTATTTTGGCGCGTTTTAGTTTGGACCCTGTCGTCTCATCCCAGCAAATCTCATTCATACCCAATCTCAGCCGATATCGTATCTGTGTCATGTCATATCGGTCTCGCATCTCACTGTGTAATCACCATTTTATATATATATATATATATATATTCATACTAGAAAAATTGAGAATACCCGAACCGATACCAGGTATCGGTATCAAGCTGATACCAGCCCGATATCACATATTGAGCTGATACCAGCCCGATACAAGATATCACTATCGATCTGATACCAGCCCGATACCAGGTATCGTATCGAGCTGATACCAGCCTTATTTTAAGATATTCGCGGTTGCTGCCGATACCAGCAACAGATACTTAAGGAAATAACG